GTTTGTTGGCAAATAGTGAGCCAAATCTTTTTACTAATATTTCTTCTAGAGTTGTTATATTTAACATTTTTAGACTAAGTTACTACTACACAATAAGCATTTGAAAACTTATAGCATATAATAATGTACTTTATCACTGCATTATAAGTATCTACAACTAATATTATATCCTAAAAAAATTGGTTTACAAATGTGCTTACAAGGTAGTAACTTAGTCTGAAATGTTTAATATAACAACTCTAGATGAAATATATAGGTGAACAGATTTGGCTCACTGTTTGGCAACAAACTGATCAGTTTGTCTCTGTCACCTTAACTGTAGCACGTCTGCTCAGTGGTTAGTACTGTTGCCTCACAGCAAGAAGGTCCTGGGTTCAACCCCCAGTTGGACATGGAGTCTTTCTGTGTTCTTCTCGTGCTTGCGTGGGTTTTCTCCAGGTACTCCGGTTTCCTCCCACAGAACAAAAACATGGATGTTAGGCTGCCTCCCTTACAAAACAGATCAGTGATCTCAATGGGATTTGCCTGGTTAAATAAAGGTTAATAAACAATTAATAATGATTTATAAAGTGTTTATAGAGGAATTAATAATGTATTTATTAGCTATTTATTAGCCATCTATAAGGGGAAACTTATTGTTAAGTGGTACTGAAGTTAGGTTAAATAATAACAGGATTTAAGAGCTAACAACTAGTTTGGTCTTACAGTCGCTGGCATTGCATTTATTTTTTGATTACATTTCCTCTTGCTGCTGCCGTCTTTACTTTATCTGTTTGTATTTTTAATTATTTATATCTTTAACGTGGTTTTTTGTGTGTCTTTCTTCCAATATAAAGTACACCCGGACCTGCCATTCTCTGTTTGTCTGTTTCTCCTTCCTGTCCTCTCAACCTCCGCTGGCCGAAGCAGATGGCCGCTCGTCCTGAGCCTGGTTCTGCTGGAGGTTTCTTCCTGTTTAAAGGGAGTTTTTTCTTTCCACTGTTGCCTTTGTGCTTGCTCAGGATTAGAGACTGCAGCAAAATGAAGATTCAACACAATCGGCTGGTTTTATAATGTATGCAAGTGTTTTTGTACAGCGCCCTGAGATGATTTCTGTTCTGACTTGGCGCTGTAGAAATAAACTGAACTGAATTGAAATCCTTTACATAGAAGTCTATGGTTATTTTCAAAAGTAAATATTAGCAGCCAGCTGTAGCACTTCTGGAGAAGTTTGGATATTTCTGTCGTGAAGTGTTTGAAGATGGCAGCAATCCACTTTAGTCTTGGTTCTGGTTGGACTAGCTTTTACCTTGTCTTGTCACAGTTATTTGTTATGACTTGTTCTTCTTGGAAGCACAAAGCAGATTGATCTGGAGTCATGGGAGAATTGGCTTCTTTACTGTGACAACTTCTAAAATTTTCTAGTTCAATTTCAAATGCTGCTCTAACATTTAAACAAAAACCCCAAAAGCACACAGCTCTACCGAGTGTGTTCTCCACTGGCATTGTTGGTGTTTGTGCATGTGCAGACGTGATGTAGCCAGGCTGAAGGATGTAAGTGTTACACAATCACAACATTTTTCCGATAGTGTGAAAACAAGCACGTACTTCTTTGTAAGCGCTCCATAATGGGACTAGTCCTTATGCATCTCAGGGGCTTTATAACTTGGTCTGAAACTACTTAATTGTTCCTAATCTTTCTACCAAAACTCACTTTAAACTATTTAAACTATCTCATTAAGTGGACTTCAATCAAAGAGCAAATCTTTTTTTTTTTTTTTTTTTTGCATCCCTCCCTTCAATTTATCTCATTTTCTCTTCTCTTCACTTTACTTTACTTTACTGGCTGCCCTTCTCACTCCACCTCACTGATAATCCTCTCCATCTGCCCCGTACTCCTGACTCAGCATTTACTTCACTCAAACCTCGGCTCAAGGTCATTTTGTTATGGCACAGCGGCTTCACAAAGGTTGTTTTTTTTCTAGTGCCTTCTTCCTTTAATCAGGCTCTCTTTTTTCCTAATACCATCCCATGCATACAGTTATTAGGTTACACAGTTTGATGGTTGATTTTTATCATCCCTTGTTTTGGTATTGTCTCAGCGTCTTTGCTTATGTCTGTCTGCTTCAAAGCACTTCACTCAGCTCTGCTGTATTAGTTGGAATTCAGCGAATGACAACTCCCTCGGTCACACTGGGTTTATTGCTTCCTCATCTCTTGGCTTTATCTGATCAATCTTGCCACTTGTTTTCGAGTGCCTTTCATTCGCGCTGGAAGTGGAGCTGAGTCAGAGTAGGTGCAACATTTTAATTTGCACTTCCTGCATTTCATGGAATGCTGCAGTTGATAGTCTTTCCTGTCCCTGGCTGTAATGAGGTTAACTCGTGTCCACAGCATGTTTCTGTCGCATTCGAGGGCATATCCAGCTGTGTCTGAATATAAATGACAGCTTGAACATGTTTCAATTATATCCTCAAAACTCATTTTTCCAATCCAAGAAAAGGTGGCATTAATCTCCAGGCATCAATGCAGCCTTTGATGGTGGTTATTTGAATTCTGTAGGTTATAGTAACAAAATGCTTCAACACAAATGGGAGTAAAATATTTTAAAGATCAGATACAACACATGGATGTATCTTTTTTTCCAAGCATGGAGAAATGTTTGCATTTTGCTTTTCTTCATAGTTTTTCCATCGATGGGTCACACAGAGCCCAGTCAGTCAGCAGCACCTGACTCCAAGCCTTCTTACTTTGAGACAGTCTGCACCACAAGCTACTCATTATTTATTAACTGACTTTAGTGATCTCTGTCCTCTCCTTTGACACCATCACAATTGATTTGAAATTCATAGTGTTTAAATGCATATTCATCAAGTCTTCCAATACAAAAAAAAATATATACAAAAAAAAACCCAAATAGATTAATGGTTTGAATTGTAAAGTTTATTCCGTTTGAGATTTCTAAACTAAGATGCGTCACATTTTCTTTCACAACTTTTAACACAATACTCTCAAGGGAGATTCTTACCATGGATATTTTTACACACTGAGGATGTTCTGACAAATAAATTAAGGAAAGGTTGCTGTCTACACAGTCAGGCCGCACATCTCACGAAGAGCAAGCTATTTAAAATGCTTCAGCCTGTGGACTTTTCCTGCATCCTTTTTCTTTTAAATCCCACAACACAAAAACACATCACACACCTCCTCGCTGTCAAACAGTGTCTGACTTAATCAATGTCATGTCTGTGGTCACTGATGTTGCTCGGTTCTGTCTTTTAAAAGGTTTTTGCGCTGCTTTCCTTGCCTTGAGCATTCTACATCTGCAGGTAAAAAGGCAGCAGTCCCAGAACACAACCATACACAAATTACTAATTGCTACTATAAATGCAGATGGTTGTAAATATGTATTTTACAAAACTAGCCTAGATTCCAATATGAGGTTTAGTACAATGAGCAAAAATATAAATGCAGCATTTTATTTTTGCTCCCATTTTTTCATGAGCTGAAGTCAAAGATCTAAAACTTTTTTCTATGTACACAAAAGGTCTTTTCCTCTCAAACATTGTTCACAAATTTGTGTAAATCTGTGTTAATGAGCACTTCTCCTTTGCTGAGATAATCCATCCACCTCACAGGTGTGGCACATCAAGATGCTGATTAGACAACATGATTATTGCACAGGTGTGCCTTAGGCTGGCCACAATAAAAGGCCACTCAAAATTGTGCAGCTTAACTGCATTGCGGGGGTCCGGGGGGTGGGCGGGTTTCAGAAAACCAGTCAGTATCTGGTGTGACCACCATTTGCTTCATGCAGTGCATCACAAACACATCTCAAACACCTACAAAGCTCTCAACAACCTAGTTCCATCTTATATTGCAGATCTTATTGTTCCATATTTTCCTAACAGAGCACTTCACTCTCGGACTGCAGATTTGATTGCAGTTCTTAGAGTTTCCAAGAGCAGAATGGAAGGAAGGTCTTTCAGTTATCAGGCTCCTCTCTTGTGGAACTAACTTCCAGTTTCTGTCTGCAAGGCTAACACATTGTCCAGTTTTAAGACTGGGCTTAAGACTTTCCTTTATGATAAATCCTATAGTTAGGGTTGGCTTGTTATGCTGCCATAGGCTTAGACTACTGTAGGACAAATTGACCTAACTTCTCAAAATGTGTTGTTTCAAATGGTTTTCATTTGATATTATTTATAGCTTAACATGTGATTCTCGACCTGTCATTGTGTATCTGTTCCCCTCAATCCAGCCGGTCGAAGCAGATGGCTGCTTGTCCTGAGCCTGGTTCTGTTGGAAGTTTCCTCCTCATTAGGGAGTTTTTCCTTTCCGCTGTTAACTTCATGCTTGCTCAATATGAGAGTCTGCAATGAAGTTAGACTCAAAGCAGTTTTTTCCTCAGATAATTAATGTTATTAACTTGTTTTTTATATATATGAATGCTTCTGTTCAGTGCCCTGAGATGACTCATGTTGTGACTTGGTGCTACATGAATAAACTGAACTGAATTGAATTGAACTGAATCTCTCCTTCACAGAGTGAATCAGGTTGTTGATTGTGGCCTGTGGAACGTTAGTCCACTCCTCTTCAATGGCTATGTGAAGTTGCCAGATATTACTAAGAACTACAACACGCTGTTGTATACATAGATCTACAGCATCCAGAACATGCTCAATGAGTGACATGTCCGGCAAGGATGCTGGCAGTACAAGAACTGGGATGTTTTCAGCTTTCAGGAATTGTGCACAGATCCTTGCAACATGGGGCCGTGCATTATCATGCTGCAACATGAGGTGATGATAGTGGATGAATGGCAAAACAATGGGCCTCAGGAATTCATCACGGTATCTCTGTGTACTCAAAATGCCTTCAATAAAATGCACCTGTGTTTGTTGTCCATAACCACTCACTGCCAAACCCCACCACGACCATGGGCCACTGGATTCACAACACTGACATCAGGAAACCGCTCACCCACATGACACTATACATCTGCCATCTGCCCTGTACAGTGAAAACTGGGATTCATCCAGGAAGAGAGCATCTCTCCAATGGGACATACGCCATAGAATGTGAGCACTTGCCCACTCAAGTCGGTGACGACGATGAACTGCAGTCTGGTGGAGATCCCGATGAGGGCAACGAGCATGCAGATGAGCTTCCCTAAGACGGTTTCTGAAAATTTGTGCAGAAATTCTTTGGTTATGCAAACTGATAGTTGTAGCAGCTGTACAGGTGGCTGGTCTCAGACTTTCTTGGAGGTGAAGATGCTGGATGTGGAGGTCCTGGACTGGTGTGGTTACACGGGGTCTGTGGTTGTGAGACTGGTTGTTTGTACTGTCAGATTCTCTGAAATACCTTTGGAGATGGCTTATAGTGGAGAAATGAACATTCAATTCAGGGGGAAAATCTCTCGTGGACATTCTTACTGTTAGCATGTCAGTCGTATGCTCCCTCAAAACTTGCAATATCTGTGGCATCATGCCACTAATTTTAATGATGTCAGACAAACACAACTGTTTCAAAAAAAATTTAAATTGCCTTTTTTAATGTAAATAGCAAATGAAGAGTTTTTAGATTTGTTGTTTAAATGTTGCATATAGCACAAAGAAGCAAAACCATGAAAAAATGGGAGCAAAAACACTTGTTACATTTATTTTTTTGTTCAGTATAGAAGTTTTGAAAATGTACAGTGATGTACTTTTTCTTCTTTTTTTAACTTAGAGTTGGAAACCGTATGTGGCTGAACTTTGATACATCGTTATACAAGAAAGGTTTGTGCATAGGTTGATGTTTCTGCATGGTTTGATCCACTTACTGCTTAAAAATGTTATACACAAATTGATATATTTTTTAATTTTGCAAACATGAGTAAGATGAGTCATAAATTTGGGCATTTGTCTCAGTAATTTTAAATAACAAAGTACAACCTAATGTTTGAAAGTAGAGTGCAGTGCATGGACGTTAAGCTCAATGACTAGGTTATAATTTGTTTTGACTCGTGTGATAATCTGACTTTATCATGTGCAGCATCATGAAGCAAGATTTTTTTTAATCTGTTGAAAGTTATTTTCATCTCAGAGTGATGTACAAAGAAAGTAAATTGGTCCAGTTCAAACTCAGTGCTTTCTAATTTCTGCCTCTGTGCAATCATACATGCATTTTGACTTACTCAGCTGAGTACAGTCAAACACAGATCCATTAATATCAGATCAATTAGGTTAATTTAATATCAAAATATTCCAAGTTTATCCATATATTTGATAAATTAAACACATTCCAAATAAGGCATCTCTAAATTTCTAGATTTATCTTGCAAAAATGCTAACTTTTTCAAAATGATGTCAACATAACAAATCTACAGATTCCATCAAATCTTCATTTTGATACCTCAGCACCCTTGTTTTAAAGTAGCATAACTACTGTAAATGGATGGTACAGAGTAGGGATGCACAATATTATCGGCATGGTATCGGACGATATTAGCGATAAAGGTAACTATCGGCCATCGGCCATTCCATCCATCCATTATCTTTACCCGCTTATTCCATTTTGGGTCACGGGGGTCGCTGGTGCCCATGTCCAGCAATCACTGTGCGAGGGGCGGGGTACACCCTGGACAGGTCGCAAGTCCATCACAGGGACACATAGAGACAAACGAGACAAACAACCATTCACTCTCCCACTCACACCTAGGGACATTTTAGAGTTACCAATCAGTCTAATATGCATGTTTTTGGTTTGTGGGAGGAAACCGGAGCACCCGGAGAAAACCCACGCATGCACAGAGAGAACATGCAAACTCCACCCAGAAGGCCCCTTGACAGGGGTTTGAACCAAGGACCTGCTCGCTGAGAGGCAGCAGCTCTACCAGTTGCGCCACCGTGCTGCCCATCGGCCATTCCATCGGCCATTCCATCAAAAAAAAAAACCTCACCAATCTAAAAGGCTTCTGTTTTAAGTAATTTTTTTATTTTAAACTGTCAAGTATATCTACTAATGCACTACAATTTATGCGCTTTTCACTTGTCACTTGTGAACAGGTTGAGTTTAGATTTGTGAAAATTTATAAATTTGCACTGTTCAAGTGTTTTGTGTTAGAGAGAGTAAATGTCAAGAATAAATTTGTCATTAAACATAATACAAGTTGAAGTGTTACATCATTTTCAGCCCCTTTTTGACATTTGCATTTGGTAGCAGGCTAAACTGACAAAGACCATGCAGAATAATGAAGATTTTTTTATTCCACAGTGGAGAAATCTATGTAGTCTCTGGAAGTAGGTCTAGGGAGAAAAAAAACTGATATCGGTTATCGGCCAAATAAGTTTTAACATATTGGATATGGACCAAAAATCCAATATCGTGCATCCTTAGTCCAGAGTCGATCAAACTAACCTAATACAAAAGTTTTATCTAAAAGAAAAACATTTTAAGCCTAATGAAGCAGCGTGACTACCTCCCAAACCAAAACCAGGATCGGGTTCCACTAAAAGTTCTGCCTTCCTTTCTACTTTTAGAAAGTCTCAGAATCACAAATAAACCTGTAGTTTGAGAGTGAAGAGCTCTGTTGGGGAAATAAAATGGAAATGCGAGACGTTTGAGATAAGATGGTGATTAGGGTTGAGTGACAGAAATAATGTGAATTTGTATTCCCCTTTAAACATAAAGTCACTGAAGAGAAACTCTGAAAATTTGTGATCATTATAAAAAATAACCAAATGTTCTGTTCTTGCCGGAACTCTTGTGAATCCAGGTGTGGGTTTTCAAAGGACCAGGCTCACACTCCGTTCATTCAGTAAGGTTGAAGTCAACCTTAGCCCCATGTTTTGACTTGGATGTTCAGGTTTACTAAAGGTCAGCCCATTGTTTTTAATGTAGACAAAAATGGACAGAGATAGAACCCCTCACTGACCCCCCCACCCACCGCGCTCCTTCTTCTGTCACCGAAGATAAAATAATCCACAGATCCGAAGTTACAACATATACATAAGTTGGTGTGTAAGGTCACTCTAGAACATAAATGTTTCATATCCACATTACTGAGGAACCATGACTGCACTGTAAATGGTTTACATTAGCTGCCTTGTAAATAAAAGATAAAGTCATGAAGAGGAGATTGATTTCATGCTTTGCTGACACCTTTAGAAAAATCTTTCTCCATCACATGGCCAGTTTACAATTTTTTTAAGCAACTTCTAGCTTTAGAGACTCGAGTGAAGAAAATGCACAACCTACCTCAATAGTTTGGCTTTAGAATTGTTTCAGTCACTCATGTAGATAAATATTCAAATTACAACTGAGAAGTTTCAGAACAGATTCAATGTTCCTTGACAATAAAAGGAAACATTTTCTTTATGAAAACACATCACAGGAAAATGTCATAGTGTGGTATCTCCCTTTAAAATCAAAAGAGGGAATGATTCTTCTTCATCTTATCATTCGGTAGTGACATTTAACAGCCCTGTGAAAAGAGATCTTGTACAGAAAAAAGAGATATGTCACTCTCTGTTGAAGAAGTCACATGTTATACTTTAAGTTTTTTTTGACAGGTATTGTTGCTCCTTAACCCACTGGCACACATGGCAACTTTACACACTTGGACTTGCAGGTTATTTTAAAGGCATTGCATTCCTTTAGGTACAACAATAAAGATGATGGGTGAGACTGAACTGATGTCCAATAAGCTGAATGGATCAAAAGAGCAAATATAGTTAAATAATGTGCCCTGAAAAATAAAAGATGTTCAATATTATTATACAGAACTGAAGCAAGTACAGGGGGTTTAATTTTGATGAGTCACACAATGAAGATCTGGGAAAGTGTTGTGGAAGCTAGACTTGGACAAGAGGTGACTATTTGTGAGCAGCAGTATGGTTTCATGCTGAGAAAGAGCACCACAGATGCCATATTTGCTTTGAGGATGCTAACGGAGACGTACAGAGAAGGTCAGAAAGAATTCCACTTTCCTTCTGGATTTAGAAAAGGAATGACAGGGTGCCAAGAGAGGAGGTGAGGAAATCTGGAGTGGCAGAGAAGTATGTTAGACTGGTACAGGACATGTATGAGGACAGCAGGACAGTGGTGAGATGTGCTGTAGGAGTGACAGATAGCTTCAAGTTGGAGGTGGGAGTGCATCAAGGATTGGCTCTGAGCCCCTTCTTGGTTGCTCTGGTGATGGACCGACTAACAGATGAAGTCAGGTAGGAGTCCCCGTGGACTCTGTGGTGAGAACATGGAACAGGTGGAAGAGAACTTGGAGAGGTGGAGGCATGCACTAGAAAGAAGAGAATGAAAGTCAGCTGTAGTAAGACAGACTACATGTGTGTGAATGAGAGGGAGGCCGGTGGAACAGTGAGGCTACAAGGAGCAGAGGTCACAAAGGTGTAGGACTTCAAGTACTTGGGGTCCACTGTCCAGGAAAATGGAGACTGAGGTAAAGAGGTGAAAAAGAGAGTCCAGGCAGGATGGAGAAGATGGAGACAAGTTTCAGGACAAAAAGGTGTCAGCAAATGTCACAGGAAAAGTTTACAAGAGAGTGGTGAGACCAGCTATGCTGTATGGTCTGGAGACAGTGGCATTGACAAAAAGACAGGAGAAAGAACTGGAAGTGGCAGAAATGAAGACGTTGAGATTCTTCTTAGGAATGACAAGGATGGATAAGATTAGGAATGAGATCATCAGAGGTACAGCACAGGTTGGAACAACTGGGAGATAAAGTTAGAGAGACCAGACTGAGACGATTTGGACATGTCCAGAGGAGGGACAGTGGGTGTATTGATAGAAGGATGTTAGAAATGCAGCTGCCAGGAAAAAGACAAAGAGAAGACTTATGGATGCAGTTAGAGAGGACATGGAGGGAGTGAGGACAGAGGATGCAGAGGACAGGTGGAGAAAGATGACGCGCTGTGGTGACCCCTGACGAGGGAAATGTCGAAAGAAGAAGATACACATGTTCAAACCACAACTATAAACATCGGTGCATTTTTGTGTACTTTCAAATTCTGTCAAGTACTCTATGATTAAATGTATCTCTGTAATAACCCCCCCCCCCCCCAACTAAGAGATACAGGCATATGCTATGTGGGTGTTTGGCAGATGCTCCTAATCACTGGCTAGCTTTGCATTTGTGACTGTTTTCACAAGAGACTCAGATTGGTAGCAAGGGCA